AACATACGTAACCTAAACATCTGTACCCCCATAATATGTTGAAATAAAAAAAAAAACTAGCATCATCCTCAATCTAAATATCACTGCATAAACCAATTAAAAATAAACTTAATGCAATTTTTTGCATTATTTTAATGTGCTAAATGGTTTTGATAAAATGAACATAGGCCATTAGACGGAAATTATAACATAGTTTATTCTTTTGAAGGATACAACGGTTTTTTGGTCCAATCCTTTCTTTCAATCAAGAGCCATAAACTTTCTGAGGAGGTCAAATAGTTGTAAGTATCTACTGATAATATCAGTTATCTGGGTATCTCCAGCCAAAACCGACCAAATTATTCTACAATGCTGAACTATCACAAGGTTTTTGGAACTTAGTCTTGCTAAGCAAACTACCAAATTTAGGATAAAGAATAGTCACAAGTACTAAGAAGAAACCATTCATACAAGCAGACAGTATCATGGGTAAGTAACCTCCATATCTCAGCTCACAATTTCCAATAGTCAGAATAAGGAAGTGCTGTTTCAGCCTCTCTAGAATAATTTGACCCCAATCAAGTATCTGCTATCATTTTTGCCCACATGCATGAAACTATGCCATGGAACATACCTATGTTTCTGACCATGATTCCTTTGAGTTCATCCACTTGGGCTTGAGTCTCCATCACCTTGTCTAGGCCCTTATTCTCAGAGTGATGCTTCTATAAGAAAACAAGTTTTAACTTATGGTACCCAGACATTATTTACAATAGGAAAACAAAAATAAGAAGAATGACAATTTATACTGGGGAATACTAAGTTATGTCTCTACTGATACAAAAGATATATGTCACTTCACTGGAGAAATGTTACCAGACTTAGGAAAAAATATGGGCAGCATAAAAAATGCTTCCATAAGAACTATAAGTATTATAGTTTAAAAATATCACCTTATTTTAAATAAAATAAAGCTAAATATATTATAACATATCAGATATGCATCTGAGGTTCTTGGGGCAGAAGTTGGAGGATATATAATCTGTGCTCAAAGAATAAAGGGAAAAAGAAGACTATAGTTGGGGCATGGGGGACAGGACAGGGCTTTCCAAAATTGTTCCACATTTCTTGAGTATGATGAGGTAGGGATTGGCCCAGCTTATTTGCACCTGTTTTTATATCTGCTGGGATCACAGCATGCATCCTATTTTCATTGGCTTTTCATAGGATCTAGAATCGAAGATACTGATATTTTGAAGTTATCATCTGTAGCTAACCAATTATGGAGGGCTTGATATACAATGTTCCAGTCACTTCACTGTACTAAGTACTTCAAGCAGGGGATATTGTTTAATCTACCCCCAAACTATATGATGAAGATGATATAATTATCTACATTTATAGAGGGAACTGGCACAGATCTGTTCACAGGGTCATACACAGATCTGGAGCTAATGACAAACTGGCTAATTTGAAAGTTTTGCTGCCAGCTGACCCCATTTACTTTTGACTGTGCATTGTTTTTTTTTTTTTTTTTGGTAGTGTTGTGTACAGTTTCACACAGATGAATGTTTCCTAGTGAGGAGTATGAAACAAATCAATTGCTTGAATAATAAAGGTATATAAAATAATCAATATAAAGGAAATTCATTCCCAGAGGAATATATATATATATATATATATATATATATATATATATATATATAAGCATAATACTCAAAAAGAGTATTAAAAATGCAGGAGAAGTGAGAAGTATTTAGTTATAATACATCTTTATTTTCCTTCATAACAAAATAACTGCTAGAACTTATATCTTTGTACTCAAATAGTTTCATGGGTAAAAAGCATTTTAAAAGGCGTTCAACATCATCAGTCATCATGAAAATGTAGATTAAAAGCACAATGAAATACCACTACACACCCAACAGAATGGCTAAAATTAAAAAGACAGACCACAAGTATTGGCAAGGATGCAGGAATACTGGAACTGCTGGTGAGAATGTAAAATGGTACAACCACTTTGGAAGAGTGTGATGATTTTTTAAAAATTACATATCACTTACCATATGGCCCAGCAATTCCATTCCTAGGTATTTACCGAAGAGAAATAAAAACATATGTCCACCCAAAGACTTGTACGTGTAATTTCAGAGCAGCTCTATTCATGACAGCTGAAAACTGGAAGCAACTCAAATATCCACCAACAGGTGAAGAGATAAACAAATTGTGGTACATGCATATACTCAGCTAGAACAAACTACTGATTTATACAACATGGATGAATATCAAAAGCCTTACAATAGAAAAACAAGCAAGACATGAAGAGTACATACTGTATGATTCCATGTATAGAAAACTCTAGAAAAGACAAAACTAATTTATAGTGACAGAAAATGGATCAGTGGTTGCCTGGGAGAGGATTGACTAGAAAGGGACATGAGGGAATTTTTAGGGTGATAGAAATGCTTTCTGTCTTGACTACAGTGATATTTCAGAGGTATACACATATGTACACCTTCACTGAGCTGACAAATAGGGATTCATAGAGTTGAACAGACTTTTGAACAATTAATTTGAGTTGTTCAAAAATTAAATTTGCCTAATGGAAGGGTAGAAAGTTTATGTATAGGTTAAAAGGCCATTTGGCATGTTGAGTGCATTTACCATTAGACGGGTAGTTGAACTAGACACACTTTAATGTTCTTCCTAATCCTGAGATACTCTGACCACTATTAATAGAGAATATCACTGCTTTCTACCCTAAAATGGCCCCTTTACATTTTATTTTAATCAGCGAAGTTTTATTATGTTCGCATATAGTAACACAATCAGAAAAGTATATTTCAGGTTAGGGCCCCCTATATTCATCATGTTTTAAGGTAATAAAAGAGAAATATGAATCAAAATACTTTATCCTGAGAAAGATCTTACCAGCTGTGCAGCCAAGACACTTGAGAACTCACTATTCATGGCATATGGAAGTGCTGTCTGTGCTCTTGAACCATAAGTAGTCTGGAACCTCTTCTTTATCTCGTTCAGAAAATTAAATGCTCGGGAACGTTCAAAATCCTGGAAAGAGACCAAAACAGAATTCACATTTAGAAAGTAAACAAAGATGATGTGGATAATTAATAACAACAATAGAACAGATAATATTTATTGAGCAATGACTCTATGAGAAGAAACTAGCATTGATCTCATTTTAAAGATAAGGAAACAAAGGCTCTGAAAAGGTAACTAACTTGCCAAAGGTCCAACAAGTAGTAAATGAAAGAGCTGAAAGTCAAATGCAAATATGTCTGGCTAGATAATGGTACCTAGGTTATTCCTGCATATCTGTCATAGGATCTATTAGAAGGCCCAGCACAAGAAGATGTTCAATAAATCCATAATAATAGTACAGTCTTTCACACACAAAGATAATGCTACTGACATAAACTTTGAATTGATATTTTTCAAAAGTGGTGTTACATTTGAAAAGATCAAGTGACATACCCTTGTCTAGTCCCAGCCAGTCAAAAAGTATGTGTGCATGTGTGTTTATGTATGTCTGTGTGTATCAAATTAGAAATATGAGGCTCAACTCTACCCTAGACTTCATGATATTTTTCATCTATTCTAAGCTCTTTCATATCAGTCATTTCAGATATAGCTGGATTTTTTTTCCTGATTTTAGGAAATACTGTGAAGCTAGGAATAAAAATAATTGTGATGATCACTATGGTTGATAGTCATTTCCGTTTTACCCAAGATGTTTAGTCTAGGCCAAGGGTTCTTAAATTTTGGTCAATGATCCAAATTCAAATGACTCTTATACTTGGATAGAAAAACAAATCACATCATTATTTGTACCAAACTTTTACTTAAATTTCAATTGTGAATATAGGTAGTACATTCACAACCTGAGTATTAAATAGTGCTGTAACTCTGTCACCAAAAGAAGTCTTTTTTCATATACAATCACAGTAATAGATATCTTGAAATACCATTTACACTCATCACCATTTCAAAATTATTATTAGTTATTAGACCATGACTAGATCTTGTTAACAAGTTCATAAAGAAGCACATACATTATATCAACTTAGAAAATATTTTGAATACTATATTTTTTAAATATAATTAGTTTTGTTAGAATCATATATGTTTATTTTATATAGTTAAAAACATTCTGGGAGGGGCCCATGAGTAACAAAGGGGTCTGTGACACAATAAAGATTAGGAACCCCAATCTATGGAAATCATGGCAATTCATGCTTCTTGTAAGTGATCAGTTTAGAAATAAGCATGTCACCAATAAGACATGACAGGAAGATCACTTTGAAAGCAGGCAGAGGAGAGGGCATGCATCTGAGAAGTTTCCTCATTCCTACAATAAGAGAATCAAGAAGCCACAGTCCCTTTTCTGTGGACATGAATAAACAAGCATGTAGCTCCATACAATCATAAGGGTAACCTGTCTGGGAAGAAGTCAACACTGAGGAAAGCAGAAGAGAGAAAGGCTCTTGACAACATCATTAAGTTATTGAGCATTTTGGGTCTAGAGCCTACAAATACTCAAAAAACAGTCCAACCAATGTAAACTATAGTTTTACATAGCTGATTGTAATGTATTGTGATTTTGTTTTTCCAAAGTCCTCACACATTAAAAATTTCATTAACTATTGATTGGAGGAATGAAGTTATCTAATTTGACATCTCAGTTAAACAATTTTTGAGAAGCTTTAATACCAAAGAATCATACTTATGAACACCAATTCTCACTACAATAGGATAAATGTAGAGTTGCTAGAAGTTAAGCTAAAACTCTACCAAAACAAAGCTAATTTTCACATACCCACATATCAAGTTTTCTTGCCATGTGCTGCTCTATAGGGCAAATGCAAAATATAAAAAAAAAAATTCCAGCTATAAAAAGTTTGTATTACCTTTACCCATCATAGGTATAGATAATTAGGAACTGACTATATTAACAATACACATAGTTAAACAGCAATATGTATTCAAGTTACTTACATCATCAGTGATACAAAGATATACAATCCTGTCTTGGCAGATGTAATGAAACAAATAACTGTAGAATAAAAGATATAAAACTTATTGTGGTTATAAGCAACATCTCTTTTACTTCTATTTTCTATCTATGTATAAGCAAGTTTGGTACTGTCAACATCACCATATTATTTATAGATAGAGTCTATTTTCTCTCTCCCCCTCCCCCATATACCTGTTTCTTTCAAGTCGAACTGAAAGGAATAAATAAGAAATTAAAAGAAGGTCTCTACCCTAGCTACACAGCATAACAGCATGTGCATCAACCATTAAAATGGCAGCTCCAAAAGCATAATTGGACTCTTAAGTCCTGAACAAGAGATGACATCTTAGGAGTGGCATGTAATTAAGATTAACCTCAATGGGCCATATAGCCTTCCTTGCTTTTACCTAAGATCTCAAAGCAAACACCTTTTCTACCAAATTCTCAACATTTGTTTGAGTATCTACTTTGAGCTAGTTACTGTGCTGGATGCCAAGGATACAAAAAAGAAAAACCATCAGTCCTTGTCTTCACAGGGATCACAGTGCAAGGAATTACAATGTAGCATGGCAAACAGGATGACAAGAAAGTTAAAGGCAGTGCATGGTGCTCTGGGGCCACAGAAGAGGCATATAATGGAGATTTGCCAAAGGATAACAGGAAAGACTTTCTGGAATAAGTGATGTCTGATCTGAGACCTGAAGAATAATTAAGAGATAGCAAAGTGAAGAGTGAGCAAAGAGTTTTCCAGAGAGGAACCAGCAAGCATAACGGCCTGGAGATAAAAGAGCACACAGGAAAGTAAAATTGGCTCACATGACTAGAGTAGAATGTGAGGAAAAAATAAATTGCCTGGACAGATGAGGCTGGAGAAGTAAGCAAATACCAGATTACATAAGACTTTATGCACAGCTACACTGTGCATTATCCTAAGAATAATGAACAAGCATCAAAAGGTTTTAGTCCGGGAGACTGTGATCAGATTTTCACTTTGTAAAGGATCCCATAATATGCTGTAATAAAAAAATTAAAAAAAATAGAAAAGGATACTTTTGCTAGAGTATAGAGAACTGACTGAAAGGAAGTCCAGATGGGAAATTACTGCAATGCATCAGTTAAGAAATAATGAGGGGCCGGGTGTGGTGGCTCACTCCTGTAATCCTAGTATTCCGGGAGGCCGAGGCAGGTGTATACTCCATCGCTACTTAAAAAAAAAAAAAAATGGGAAGAAATTAGCTGGACAACTAAAAATATACAGAAAAAAAATTAGCCGGGCATGGTGGTGCATGCCATAATCCCAGCTACTCAGGAGGCTGAGGCAGTAGGATTACTTGAGCCCAGGAATTTGAGATTGCTGTGAGCTAGGCTCACGCCATGGCACTCTAGCCCTGGGCAACAGAGTGAGACTGTGTCTCAAACAAAGAAAGAAAGAATGAGAGAAATAAACTAAAGTAGTATGGGCAATGATGAAGGGACAGAGAATAGAGATAGGCGATACCATTTACAGAACTTGGTGACTGGCTACTGGGGAAGAGACAGAAGGGTAACTAAATTTTACCTCCCAGATTTCTACCTTGGACAAGTGGGTAGACAGTGGTACCTGTTGAATTATATTAATGTCCACATAGAGGCCTGATATGAATTACAAGTATGGAAACTCAGGCGAAATGTCTTCCTCTACTATTCAGAAACTGTTCACACCAATTCCACCAATGAATTCCATGTTGCAATATCCAGTGGTTCTCTCTGAAATATTTGATAGCGTTGACCACTTCCTTCTTCTGTAAAGTTTTTTCTCTTCACTAGATTTCTTGACACCAGGCTTGCCTGTTGCTATGGAGTGAATTGTGGTCCTTTCAAAATTTGTGTGTTAAACTCCTTACCCTCAGTGTGACTATATTTGGAGATGAGGCCTTTGGGAGGTAATCAGGATTAGATGAGATCCTAAGTGTGGTCCTTATGATAGGATTAGTGGCTTTTAAAGAAGAGGAAGAGAGAGAGAGAGCACTCTCTCTCCACAACGTGAGGAAACAGGTAGAAGGTAGCCATCTGCCAGCCAGGAAGAGGGCCCTCACCAGGAACTGAAATGGCTGGCACCTTGTCCAGCCTCCAGAACTGTGAGAAATAAATGTCTATTGTTTAAGCCACTCAATCTATGATATTTTGTTACAGCAGCCTGAGCAGACTAATATACCTGGCTTATACCATAATCTCTTTCCCTTTATGCTGATGTTTTCTAGCATCCTTAGCCCCCTGCTTTTCTCACACTCACTCCCTGGAGGGCAGCATCCACTCTCATGTTTTGTTGTTGATGTTTGTTTTCAGCTACCACAATTACACTGATGATTCCCAAATCTAGACCTGACTTATCTTCTGAGTTCCAGGCCTACACACTACTGTCTACTACACATATCCAACTGGACATACCATAGACAACTTAAATACGACATGTTCAAAACGGAAGTTATCATTTTCCCCATAAAATTTGTTTCTCCTAAACCAGACTGAAGAGTCACTTGGTACACAGGTCACAAAAGGTAACAAGGTATGATGCCTGCCATCAAGGAGCCTACAGTCGGGGGACAGAGACAAACAATCAAGACTACAATTACAATCCAGTATGATACGTGTTACAATATGAATCTATGCTAGATGCCATGTAGACACAGGTGCCTCTGACTGAGGCACCTGGCCAAGTCTTGGAGTTAAGGAGTTTCTAGAAGAGGAAACATCTAAGCTCAGGAACATTAAGCCAGATTTAAAAAAAAAAACAAGTATATAGACATATTTTAAGATAAAAGGTAACAGCTATTGCAAAGGCTAGGAAGAGAGAAAGAACCTAACATTGAACTGCAAACAGCTAAGTATGGCTGGAGAACAAAACTGAGGACTAAAGTAGTATGAAATGAGGCCAGAGAAGTAAAAAGGGCCAGATCTTGAAGAATCTTCCAAGTCATGTTAAGGAATGTTAAGGAAATTTATGCTGAGGGGAGGGAGTACATGCTTACGGAAGAGACATGAACAGAACTGCCCTTTTAGAGGGATAAAGTAAAAATTAAGAAAGTATTTCATTCGGAAATGATAAAGTGAGCAAACATTTACAAGGTGGTCTATAAGGGGAATGACATTCCCAGAAGATACAAAAGCAAAGAAAAAAATTTACCAAAGCTCAAAATAACATAGCTAGGTCAAAGGAATGGCAAAGGGTCTTCTGGAGATAAGTATAAAAAAAAGTCACGAATGTACAAAATTGTGAAGGGTGAGCTGGGGTTTTATTCTAAAAGCAGTGGGTTTGGAGCAATAAAGTATCATCATAGGAATGTGAAATACACATTTCAGATGGAAGCAACTAGAAGCAGGAAGACCAGTTAGGAGGAGGATGATCTATGAAAAATAATAAAGGCCTAAACTAACACTGTCACAGTGGAGATAGAGAAGAGGGAATAGATTAAAATACTTCTTGTAGGAGAATGGCAAGGATTTGGTGAAGAAGTCTAATATGATTCTGAAGTTTTAGGCTTAGCTGATTTGAGTGGCCAGTAATGCTATTAAAGAAAAAAGGAATAGCGAGAGGAAGAACAGATTTCAGGGGAAAAGTGTTTAACATACAGTAAAATGGAATTTTTCTTTTGGTATACAGTAATAAGATTTTTATTGGAATGATGGAAAATGATTATAAGGGGAAAAGAAATCCCAGTGCAGACAATTGAAAATAAAAAAAATCTCAATGATGGAATCTCACCGCAGAGGATAGAGGGGAGGACTATATCAAGACACAGGTAGAGAGGCATGGCAGACAGATAACACCTCCTTCTACTGTAACCGCATTTTAATTGGAATACATATTCTAGCCTCTCTTATAGCTAGATACTGCTGTATGACTAAGTTCTGGTTCACAATGTGTGAGTGGAAGATATATGCCCTACTTCCTAGTCTTGCCTCTAAAAGGATTGCAAGTGCTTTCCTTGGACATTTTCCAGGGAACTGACTAGAAACACACAGATTATAAGCCTAAAACATTTTTGAAGAAACTATAAAGCCATAATCACAAGAGGCTGAGATTACTTAACTCCTAAAGCAACCTCTGGGCCCCCAAATGTACACCAGCAGGAAGCAGAATACAAAACTTTTACAGTTCCCAAATATGACATACTCTTTAACACCCATTTTGGATGTGGCCAGAAAGGATAATGGACCAGGAAGAATCTCCCGGAGAACAAAGCCAGGAGTCAGGGAAAAAAGATGAGAGAGTTCCTCCAAGAAGGCAGAACTACTAACCACTGCCCAGTCAGAACAGGGAGTCTTTGAAATTGCTGTGAGGCAGTTGTTTTAGCATTGCTAGGAAGTAGTGACTTCTACGTGTTTCTCATTCTTCCCTTTTTCAAATGGGAGTTTAAAAAACAGGATCACAGTGATCCTGTTTTTATTTCACCATTGTCTATCGGGTTAGGCTGGAAGAACAGGGAAAAAAATATGACCTGTCTTTTAGTGGGTCACAGGACCCACCCCTGGGCCTGATGGAAAGGACTGTGTTTCACCCAGACTCTGGACTTGGAGCTAAACACAGTAACTAGATAGGTCTTTGGAGCTACCTTCCTCAGAGAAGAGGTGTATTCTATGGTTGGGAAGAAGAGTTTACCCAAATATATGGATGGTCAGAAGAGTAGAATGAAAGATTGCAAGTGATCCTGATATCCTATAACTTCCTCCACAGTAACAGAGTTTTAGCTATACGACTACATAGCCACAGATGACATTTCCTGGCCTCCCTTCTAGCTAGGTTAGCTACATGACTACATAGCGAACAATAAAATGTGAGCAGAAAGTTCTGAACAATAAAATGTCAGGCCACTTTTGGGCCTTGCCTTTAAAATTACTTGGCAAGCATTGAGATTTAACAAGAACTGAAGGAGCTGCCTTAGACAGAGTTGGAAGGCACTAATTGAGAATGGCAGAGCCCCCCGCAAAATCCCCAAACCATTCATCTCTGGACTATCTCATTTAAGTCAACATTATATTTCAGGGTCTCTCTCACAGTAGCTTAGACTAGACCCTAAATTGTACAAGGGGTTAGCCCTAGAAAGAAATAAGGACTTTCTTCTGAGATAAGAACTAAGGAAATAAGGATAGCTTATATAACAAAAGATTTTTATGTATTGATGAGGAAGGTTGAGGTGCTTTTTATCTGATTACTAAGATTTCCCACCTATGCCCTCTCTAATCAGCTACCAGAGTAATCTTTCTAAAGCAAAACCTGACCATGTCATACCCTGGCTAAAAATCTTAAATGCCTACCAAAGGGTAAAGTTCAATCTCTTAAATGGCCTATTAGGCCCTATATGATTTTTTCTCTACCTATCTCTCTCGCTTTATCATCACCACCCTGGGCATCAGTTACAGAGAACAACCTGCAGTTCCCCAAATATACCCTATGATCTCATGCCACCATACTTTTCTACCTGCTGTTCCTTCTACCTGGAATGCCATCCTCCTACCCACTACCTCCCACCCTCTACTATAATTATCTATGGATTTGACTGTTTCCCTCATTAAACTATAACCCCTATGAGGGCAAATACTGCATTTCTTGTTATATACTCAGCACTTATCGAAGTGCCTGGCAATAGTTAAATGCTCAGTAAATATTTACTGAAAGAATGAACAAAGGAATATTATTTATGTTATCTGTATCATTTTATATATCCTTGAGCTCCAGAGCTAAGTCATTTTTACATTTAACATTTTCATATCTTTCTTAAAGTAATATGACTTCAATCACAGAATAATGGCAAGTTAAATTTATAAGTAATAAAACTAGACATTTTCAAAGCTGGTGAAGGTTACTGTTTTGTCAGCGTATTCAAATTAGCTACCTAGAAGCTTGTTTTCTAGTTTTCTACTGTTCTAACTATAATAATAGAATTCCCTTCTGTCAACCCCTACCCCATGCAAAGCAGAACTCACTTGCCATGTGAGTACGTTAGTTTGTTATTTTCAGAAGGTATCTTAGCCAGAATCTGCTCTGTCACCTCCAGGAAGTTTCCTCCACACCAAGCATGTTTGGCAAGGATAGTGGTCCCCCTGGCAACAACAGCAAAAAGAATGGCCATGGCTTCAATCTAACAAAAGGAAAAAAGACACAAATTTAGAATATTTCTTTGACATGATCTTCCAAAAGTAACTTACTATTATTTATCAACATCTACCTGGAGTATCAAACAAGGTACTATAACATGGAACTTAAAAACACACTTAACAGGCTTAACAAGAAGGTCACGATCTTCTACAAGCTTACAACCTAAGCCATGCTGATATGCATACATATAAAGAGACACACAAGACACATACACACACACATACACACACACACACACACAATTGATAAATATGTTGCATTTACAAATTATACAGCACAAACTGATATCACCCTTTTGAAAAGCAATGACCATAAATAGCAAAGGGACATAAAGATGTCTTCATCCTCTAATGCTGTAATTCCATCCTGAAAATTTATCCTAGGGAAATAGTTCAACAGAAATAAGATTGTGGATTCACAAAGATAATTATTAACAATCATATTAGCCCATACTTATTAAGTGTTTACTATGTGTCAGGTACCACTTTAAGTACTTTATAATTATTAATTCATTTAATCCTCAAAACTCAATAAGATTATGCACTATTATGATACTTCTATTACAGATGAGGAAATTGAAGCACAGATAACTTTAATTTGCCCAAAATTACAGAGCTAATAAGTGACAGATCTGTTATTTAAATCCAGGCAGTATGGTTCTAGAAACCACAATCTTATCCCTTTACGGGATATTATTAAGGCATTATCCATAATAGAAACAAAAGTTAAAATAACCCAAACTTTCCACAAGAAAGGAATGGTTTTAAAAATTATGGTAAGACCCTTCATAAATAAAACATTACTAAAACAATTTGAGTTTAAGATTATTTTCCTTATGTTTGGTTATGAATACGTGCTTTTTCCCCCCCACACAGCGGCCCAGTTTCTCTCATTTAATGGCATAAACTTATAAAAAAATATGAACAAATGCCTCACTAGTCTTCGATTAACTGTTAAACCTAATGTTATTTGTTAACATGTTCAGTTTCACTCAACAGACCAGTGGTTCTCAAACTGTAGTGAGACTATGAATCATCTTAGGTGGCAGAGTAAGAGTCATTTGCTAAAAATGCAAATTCTTGGCATCATTTCCTGAAAATTCTGATTCCGTAGGCCTCAGGTGGGGTCCTGGAATCTGTATTTAAAATAAGCCTGTCTGGGTGCAGGTGATTCACATAGTCATACTTTGTGAAACATATAAAGTGCCTGAGGTCAGGAAATTTGCTGATCCTTTATTGGAATCCCAGCACTGAAGGACAGCACACAGCAGAAGGCGCTCATCTGTCTCTTGAGCTGAATGCCTCTCAGAATCTCTTCTTCATTCTCTCTAAATGAAGTTGTTCCCAGGGTCATGTGCTCAGCCATCTTCTTTCCAGAATTCTTACATATATGTAGGAAGTTACAGTTTCCAAATCACTGTCTCATACTTTTTAACTCCTTTGATCCTGAAAGCCTCCCTTGACCATGTATCATACTGTTCTATTTCTTAAAATCATTGCCTACACACTAGCTCTATTTCTCTACCTCCTTTTAACTCTTCGACTTATTACAATCTGGTTTTTGCCCTTAACACCCCACAAAACCAGGCTTCCTAAGATCACTAACAGCCTCTACATTACAAAATACAGTGGTCACTTCTCTATTCTTACCTTACTTGACCTTTCAGGAATAATGAACACCACTGACCAACTCTCCTTCTTGAAACACTCCTATGTCTCTAGCTGCTCTTTCTGTCCTCTTGCTGACTTGATTCCTCTTCTACCTGACCTCTAACTGCTGATTTTTCTTAGGGATTGATTCTGTGCCCTCTTATTACCAGATGAGCTCATCTAGACCTGCCATTGTAAACATGATTATTTGCTGAAGATATATTGCATACAGAAAAACAGAATAGTGCCAAAGGTAAACCAAAGCACAACCAACAGTTGAGGAAAGGTAGATAAATAAAGACTCACAAAGAAGACTGAGGAGGACCAGCTAGAAAAGTGAGAAAAGGTAGAGAAGCCAAAGAGAAAGAAAGCTTGATGAAGGACAAGTGTCAGCTCCTAGCTGTATTTACTCACACAGAGAATGAAGACTGTAAAACAGTCAATAAAGTTTTATAACAAGGAAGCAGGTCATTGCTTAGGGTGAAAAAGATATAGTGGAGAGGAACAAAAACACAAAGAGAAACAGAAATGAGAAATCACATGATCCCTGAGATACACAGATGAAAAAATAGCAGCCTAAGTCCCTGAGCAGCTTCAAGAAAACTCAGCTTGGCAACAATTAATACAAATAGATCAAGTGTTTTAGTGGACCATAAGTTCTTTATGAACCAACAAGAGATATTGCTTAAAATGCTTACATAATTTTAAATTATATTAAGAAACAGGGTGTCTTGATCTCTTTAAGTACTATTACCATTATACTCTGTGCTTGTTAGAACACATGTGGAATAATGAATTCAGTTCTGGGTATAATATGTATTTTAAGATTGGACAGAAGGAAGACAGTATGGGTGAGAGACACGGAGACTATGTCACCCAAAGACTGGCTGGAGGAACTAGAGATATTTGATGTGAAAGAGAAGACTTAGAAAGTACATGACAGTAGTTTTCAAATTTATATAAAGTACAATCTCCTGGAACAGGAAGCACATTATTCAGACTATAACTAGGAACACTGGCTATAAGTTATAGGGAAGCAGTGTTTTATTCGACAAAAGCAATCTCCAAGTAAAAAATGGCTGTTAAACACTAGGTACATGGTAACAGAAACTTTACTCTCCTCCCAGATGTCACTAATAGGAATTCCTTCCTCTCTCCTATACTGCTAAAAATCCCACCTGTAATCAAGTCTCACCTGCCTCCATTGTAACTCTCTTGCAATAGAATCTGTAATATCTCGACGAATATTGGGATAACAGAAACAACTGTGACACAGAGAACACTGCATCTGAAGTCAGAAAACCTGGCTCTGCTAATTATTTGCAGTAAGTGAACGCCAGTTTATAAGCCACAAAGTGCTATGTAAATATTCAAGAAGAAAAACAATGAAAAGATAAGCCAGAAAGAGAAAGAAAAAAAAAATAATGCAATATAAAAGAAAGCCCTGTTTCAACAGTGTTCCTCCCTGTTCTCCTATTCACTAATCAATTGGTCCCAGAGCCATCATCCCAATTCTACTTCATTCCTACTAAGAATCCTGCATTAGTTTTCTGTGGCTGCCATAGTAAAGTACCCAAAACTGGGTGGTTTAAAACAACAGAACTTTACCGACTCACAGTTCTGAAGACCAGAAGTCCAAGGTGTGGGCAGAGTCCGGCTCCCTCTGAAACCCATAGGAGAGAATTCTTCCTTGTCACTTTCTAGCTTCTGGTAGTTTCCTGACAATCCATGGCATTCTTAGGCTTATAGCTGCAGCACTTTAATCTTTGTCTGTGAAGTCACATGGCATTCTCTATATCGGTGTCCTTACATAGCATTCTCTCTGTGTCTCTTTTCTTCTTATAAGGACACTAAGTCATATTGGTCAAGGGTCCACTCTACTCCAGTATGACCTCATTCTAAATTATACCTCAATTACATTTGCAAAGACCCTATTTCTAAATAAGGTCCCATTCACGGGTGTCAGGGATTAGGTGTTCAACGCAGCTTTTTGGAGGAAACAATAGAACTGACAACAACCCCCCATTGACCTTAGCCAAAAGGCTGGGAAGTGATGCAAACCTCCATTTTAGAAACTCACCGTTCTTTCCAATTCAATCCTACTCTTCCCTTTCCATATACTCACATCACCTCAACTTGCCTCCCTCTCCTCTCCAAAACCTCTATCCCATCTTTTTCCTCACTCATATTAGAGGCCTGACATTAAAGCTATGGGCCAGAAGGGCAACTTACAACAGCTTGGCCTTAGAAAAGCCTATTTCTTACTGTGATAAGGTTCTAAGGAAAGGATATTTTTGTTCCAGTTACTGAGATTCCAAAAAAAGATATACTATGGGGCAATCCAAATGAGAATTCTAGATGCATTTTTAATAGATGAATTATTATAAATTAAAGATGCTACTGGTTGGCATAACAACCTAAATTGTCATGGATAGCATTATTTATAGAGAAAAATGCACCCAGAGTTTCAAACAACAAGCTTACAAAGGAACTTTTGGAACATGTCCATTTGTGACTAAGGGATTGCCTCTGTAAAAAAAAAATTGGTAATAAACTAGAACAGCAACGATGAAAATGCTCCTCCTCAGTGGAAGCATCTTCAAGTAGAGGTTGAAGACAGTTTCAAGAAACTGAATAGGGGGAAAGGCCAAGTCAGTTTCTCACATTTAAGTCCAAGTGTTCTGAGAAATTTTTTAATTCTGTATTTTTATTTTGATAACACTAAAAATGTATAAGAATATTCTGGATCATCTGCATGTATATCTTATAAATGGGCAACGGCGCACAATCCAGTGTTGCACTTGCATTCATGTCTATGAAGGCACAGGTGTCAAGAAATCCCCTAAAATGACTGTGATTATTTTTAATATCTTAGCAGCATGTCTGGCTACTATGTTGGCACATCCTAAAAACATAATGCCAGTCATGACTCAAGCACTCGTGTACTCCTGTTGTGTTTTTAATGAGTTAGAAAGACAAAAATTTGTCTTTTGCAGTAATGATTTACAATTGAAAGATATCTGGATGGAATAAAACTTTAAGAATTGAGACTTTTATCTGACATTCTAAAAATGACAATGTGGCAAAATAACATTAACGCATACATTATCTCAGGCTAAGGAGAAAATAATATTCAAAGATGTTTGTACCAAGTGGAAACCAAATGATACCATAACATGCTGTATGAACAAAGGTTACATAAATGTTCAAATAAAGAAGTGGAAGAATTAATTCATCACATAGCACATGGTAACAGTCAATGCAAACTCAAAAGAAAGCATTCTGTATCATTTATACTATTGCAAGGGGATGTATTATGTTAATTCTTGCAAGAGTTCATTAGCAGAACGTTTCATAGAAAATACACAATGGAAATGAAATTTTTTCCATCCTTGCATCATGAGCATACTATTAAATTAATTGGTCCATTAAATTAAAGGGGGCGGTATGCAAGGTGCTCAGGAAAGAGATGGGAACTCATTTTAGAAGGACTTATGGAACAAGAGAAGGCAAAGAGCTGAGAACAAGCTAAGAAAGGTAAATAAACTAGCCTGATGAGATGGAACAGTCCACATCTGGTAAACGAAAAGATTGAGGGATAAGGCTTACGGCCTTACATAAAGAAGGCCTTGTATAAATTAAGTCACTTGAATTTGATCAAATAGTCTATTTCAGTTCAACACATATGTACTATATGATAGCCAAAGTAGTAGACACTGGAGGTATAAAGTTGAGGAAGAAGGGACTCCTCTACTCAGGGGAGCCATAGTACAATGGGGAAGGCACATAAAAACAAATAAATGCAATAAAGTGTAATGAGTGAATAATTTAAGAATGTCCATAATAGTTCAGGGGTTTTATTAAAGTTTTGTGATTATCTCACCTTGGATAAAGAAAAGAAAGAAATGTACATGTCAGCCTATGCATTAGGAACCTCCTCAGTATACTGTTAGGATTATTTCTCTTTGGAAGAGAGAATAACACACTCACTATTTCCCCAGTGCTCAGCACATTGCCTGGCATGATATTCCCCCAAATATGTGTTGAATAAACAAGTGCACACTGAGCATATTTTGGTTTTAAATATACTATAAATGGTAGATAACTTCATATTCAGTAGGACATAGTAAGAAGAATATTTTCACTAACTTTTTTCTAAGTAAGATAAAGCAGTTGAGCTGATAGTAATCCAATCCCCAACTCTTTTGTCTGGGTCTTAGAAGGAAATAAGCCAACAATAGATAAACCACAAATTCTGATGCAATAACCTTGAAGGAGACAGAACAATGAATAAACATTGCTATGACAGGGGGAAAGAAGAGCTGTTTATGAAAAGTCAGGTTACAGATCAAGATTATTCTTGTTGGTATTACAAATATTTTTTTCTGAACAATGCTCTGAGACCCAGCCCAATTCCTTTGACTTTCTCAGAATTGGATCCTACCCTGTCAAGTCAACCACCTGTTTTATTTTGCATTACCAACATATAACATCATCTTGATTATTCCTGTTTGCCCCCCTAAACACAGGTATTCAAAGGGAAAGAATGTTCCAAACAGGACAGTATCCTCTGGGATCAAGGGTGTGAGAATGGAGGTACAGGTAGTTGAGGGCAATTAATAAGACAGAAAGAAAAGGACTTGATAATTCTTTGTGGGAGTTTGGGGAGAGGGAGATGTAAAGCATTTACCAAAGAGTCTCGTACATGTTTGGAGTCTGACAATCATTGGCTATTAATAAAAATATCAGTAACATACAGTTCTGAAGATGAGGAAACAGGTCTGGGCAAAGATATAGTTCCTACCCAAACTGAGGAAGAGGAGGAATGTCAACACTGGGCGGTGGTGGTAGGGTGAGTAGGGGGCTAGGAACCCACGAAGGAGCATAAAGCAGAAGGTGAAGCAGAAAGTTACTTCATCGAACAAAGACGCAGAGAGTTTTTTGGGAGACTCAGTCGATCTCAAGAGATTCAAACGCTACAGAAAGGTCTTGCAGAATACAAACTGAGGGAAAGTTAACATTTTTTTCTCTCCTGTAATGACAATTAAGGTGAGGCACTCTTTACACTCTTTAACTCGAGGCCTTTTCAGCAGCATAAAATGCACTTCGCCGAAACTGGACCTGCTCGACAATTCGAACTGTAGACACCAGAGAAGCCCAAGTCACCCTTGCACTGACTCCTCGCTCCACCCCAGCACCTTCCCATCTACACCTCCGCCCTCCCTCCGCCGTTGTCTCCCCGCCTTCCGCAGAGTGCATCCCGCTCTATTTACCTGTCCGGGCACCCTCTGAGGGCGCGCGTGCTCGGGACCGAGGGTCGCGGGTCAGCGCGGGGTCGCCGTCTGCCCGCTCCCAGAGGAGGATGGGACCTGACGCTGCTGACTTCCGCGTAAATCGCCCCGCCTACGCGTGGCCTCCTGGGAGTGTGTGCGCTCCTCCAATAGGAGCAGGCGGTGGGGCGGGGCCTGCTACGTTCCCAGTGCCACCTACTTCCCGCACTTCCCAGGAGCCGTACTGCATACCGGGAGTGGTAGTTCCGACTGGAGTATCTCTGAGTGTAACACGTTGGGTCAACAACTCTCGCCTTAACGTCAAACGCCGTACAAAGGATCCAGGAAAACAAGAGGATGGAGGACGCAAAAAGAATCTAGCAGCACTGAGCCGGCAGCATAAATCAAGAATAGGTTTGCCCCGCAATCTCCTCTGTTTAGTCTCAGCCGGTATCGTCGTAGCCCGTTACTTCACAGACATATTAGAATTCATCTGAAAGGAACTCCTGCTACTTTCGCCATGAAATTTTCTAACTTCCTTGTACCCCTCACCAATCCTTTCTCCCATTCTTTTGCAACAACAATAATAATAAACAATTACTTTCCAGTCTACTCCGCCCCTTTACATCCCTGTTCCTTCTTGCCGACTCAGCATCTAACCCTTCTGTCCCATGACGACTCAATGGCTTTTGGTTGACTCGCTTTTTATTATCAGCATTTAAAGACTGTCAAAATTGTTCTCATCTAAAACATTCTAAAGTCACCTTTCTCAACCCCAGACCCTGAGCCCCCTTACCACTCACAGGATTAAGATAGTGGTCTTTCTCCCATCTCTCCTTTCCAGCCCAAATTCTCCAGAGTGTTGCTGAAACAAATAGATACTTTTCTGCCATTACCACACGTCAACTCTGCAGGGCTTTACATTGATTATTCCCTCCTTTTTGAAACCTTTTATTCTCAGCTCTTTCCAACATGCTACACCCTCCTGGTTCCCTTCCCACCTCTGTGGCAGCTCTTTATTTTCTTTTGAAATGTTCTTGTTCCTTAGGGTTCTCCTTTTTTTTTTTTTCTGCCTCACTACTTTAATTGGAACATCTCATCTCATCTTCTGCACTTGAACTGGGATTTACACTGGTGGCTCCCATGATTCTCAGGCCTTCAGACTCAGACTGAATTATATCCTTGGGTCTACAGCTTGCAAATGACAGATCGTGGGACTTCCTAGCCTCCATAATCATCCAAGCCAATTCCTCCTATCCTCCTAATAAATCTCTTTCCTTCTCTCTCTCTCTCTCTCTCTCTCCCCCCTCCCACACACACACACACACACACACACACACACACAAATTTCCTATTGCTTCTCTTTCTCTGGAGAATTCTGACTAATGCAGGGGCATTCATTCACCCATCCATCCCTTCAACAAATATGTACTAAGTGCCTACTATGAGTCAGGGCCTGCTCAGATCTTGGACATATAGCAGCAAACAGGACAGACAATGTCCTTGACTTCATGCCTTTGTACATGCTGCCTCCCCTCTTACCATTTCATCACATTACGGAAGAATGGAATCTCTGTCTTTGTAATCCATGATTTTAGGTAGTTTGAGTTTACGGAGTAAAGGTTTTACTCGCCAATTCAATTCCTACATCTACTGAGCCTGGAATTATAGAACTGAAAGTTTAGATGACCTGATATAACTGTAAATATGTGAAATCTGCTTAGCTTTTTATCTTGACAAAGACTAAAAAGCTAAGAAGAGATGGAGCCTTGATTACAAACCAGCTCTCCTATACTAGGTGCTCCAGAAATGTCTGTTGGGCTAAATAAAAAAGATATACTTATCACACAGAGCTCTAGTCATATCTGAGACCCTGTTTTTATGTTCTGCTTAACAGGATTGGATCCTTATGTGTTATTTTGTGGCTTACAAACAAATCTAGCGACTCTGTTGCTTTGCAATAAAAATCATTCACATTATTGACAGTGTTTCACTGATCACCAGTGCTGCTTATGCTTCTTTTCTTCTGGATGTTTGGACTTGGGCAAATTTTCTTTCTGTACTTCTGTGCTTGAAACAGACATATATCAAGGATGCCTGTTCTCATTTGAAATTCACAATGAGCAGAGGAAGCTAACACATTATCAATATCTACAAAATAATTGACATTTGAGTATGGGATAGTTTCTGTTTGCACTGAGTCATCATATATCCCCCTCTGTTCATCTGAGCCATCGGTGATTCTAATACTAGCTTTTGAAAAGCAGTTGTGAATTACTTCCGAGGTGTCTGTGTCCCACACAGCAGTAAGATTTCTCATTACATCATGCAAATGCCATTTCTTTATATCTGTGATAGGAATAATGCTTCTCATAATGTCCCAAGCACTCCCAGCATTCAACTTTTGATTATTTGTTATATCTCAGTCTAGTGGCTGCAGGTAGCTATGGTGCTGGCAGGCAAAAAAAAAAAATTATAAAGGCCACAGCCTTGTTTTAATTTAAATCTTCAGTAACTGTATGCAACTATCATTAATAGAGTGTTCACATTCTGGTAAACCATTTTTCTCTCTAGTTGAAGGAGCCATTCTCAAAACAACCTGCCAGATAGTGCATTTTTGTTAATTTCATATACACACAGTTAAGTTGTGTATATAAAGAGATAGTTAAAAATTTTTTATGAGTTATCTTAATTTCTTGTTTCTCTCAGAACTCTAGCAAAGGAAGGCTGATGACCCATCTCTCTACATATATTTGTTTTTCTCCAGGGCAATATTCTTCTGTCAGAGCACGCTTCTGACTTGGTTGCAGATTATAGAGGTGCAATAGATTTGCCCCATCGGTGCATCTAATTCAGATTTGTCCCCCTACTTTCAAGAAGATCTGCAGCAGAGTTATTGTAGATGCTTTACCTTTTAGGGAAAGTGACATGATATTGTGACAATGCTCATTGTCACCATCCATAAAGACTTGACTTCAACTCCCATCTGGAGAGCAATTTCATTAGCCTTTTCCAAAAACCAGTGAGCATCCAGATATAAAAATACCTGCTCTGATTTGTCAAAATTATTTAAGTGTTTTATTTGCTAAGTTAGCATATTTACCTCCTCTCATTCTGTAATCAATTTCACCTCCCTTGGCTGTTTTTTATCTTTTCCTCATTTTTAAGAGACATATGAAATATTCACAAGAAAATACCAAATTCTGAGACCATTTTACTGTTTGACTTTTATTTCTTTTTTTTTTATTTCAGCATATTATGGGGTACAGATGTTTAGGTTACGTGTGTTGCCCTTGGTTCCCTCCCCCCAAGTCCGTGTTTCAAATATGT